GGGTGAATTTGGGTGAATTTTTATGAATTTTTGGTGAATTTTGATGAATTTGGTGATTTTTGGGTGAATTTTGATAAATTTTGATGAATTTGGATGAATTTTGATGAATGTTGATGGATTTGGATGAATTTTCGATGAATTTTGATGAATTTTGGGTGAATTTTGATGAATTTAGATGAATTTTGATGAATTTGGTGATTTTGGGGTGAATTTTGATGAATGTTGATGAATGTTGATGGATTTCGATGGATTTTGATGGATTTTGATGAATTTGGGTGAATTTTAATGAATTTTGTTGCATTTCGGGAGGTCCCGGCAGCGGGGGAGGGGAGAGAGGAGACAAGAGCAGAACGTCACCGACCCCTCCCCCACCCTGGCCAGGGCCACCTCCCTGGTGGCCACAGGGAGCTCCTGGTGGCCACATTGAGGCCTTGGTGGCCACATCGAGCTCCTGGTGGCCACACTGGGTTCGTGGTGGCCACATCAAATTCATGGTGGCCACATCAAATTCTTGGTGGCCACATCAAATTCTTGGTGGCCACATCAAATTCATGGTGGCCACATCAAGGCCTTGGTGGCCATATTGGGTTCGTGGTGGCCACATCGAGGCCTTGGTGGACATATTGGGTTCATGGTGGCCACATCAAATTCATGGTGGCCACATCAAGGCCTTGGTGGCCACACTGGGTTCGTGGTGGCCACATCAAATTCTTGGTGGCCACATCGAGGCCTTGGTGGCCACATCAAGCTCCTGGTGGCCACATCAAATTCATGGTGGCCAAATCAAGGCCATGGTGGCCACATCGAGGCCTTGGTGGCCACATTGGGTTCATGGTGGCCACATCAAATTCTTGGTGGCCACATCAAATTCTTGGTGGCCACATTGAGGCCTTGGTGGCCACATTGGGTTCGTGGTGGCCACATCAAATTCTTGGTGGCCACATCAAATTCTTGGTGGCCACATCAAATTCTTGGTGGCCACATCAAGGCCTTGGTGGCCATATTGGGTTCGTGGTGGCCACATCAAGGCCTTGGTGGCCACATTGGGTTCGTGGTGGCCACATCAAATTCTTGGTGGCCACATCAAATTCATGGTGGCCACATCGAGGCCTTGGTGGCCATATTAGGTTCGTGGTGGCCACATCAAATTCTTGGTGGCCACATCAAATTCTTGGTGGCCACATTGAGGCCTTGGTGGCCANAGGCCTTGGTGGCCATATTAGGTTCGTGGTGGCCACATCAAATTCTTGGTGGCCACATCAAATTCTTGGTGGCCACATTGAGGCCTTGGTGGCCACATTGGGTTCGTGGTGGCCACATCGAGGCCTTGGTGGCCACATCGAGCTCCTGGTGGCCACATCAAATTCATGGTGGCCACATCGAGGCCTTGGTGGCCACATCAAATTCATGGTGGCCACATCAAGGCCTTGGTGGCCATATTAGGTTCGTGGTGGCCACATCAAACTCTTGGTGGCCACATCAAATTCATGGTGGCCACATCAAGGCCTTGGTGGCCACACTGGGTTCGTGGTGGCCACACTGAATTCCAGTTGCCCCCAGTGACCCCTGGTCACCCCTGGTCACTCCCAGTAGCCCCCAGTGACCCCCAGTAGCCCCGGTAGCCCCTGGTAGCCCCGTGGTCACTCCCAGAAGCCGTGGTCACCCCTGGTCACTCCCCGTCACCCCCGGTCACCCCCAGTAGCCTTGTGGTCACTCTTGGTCACCCCTGCTCACTCTCAGTAGCCCCTGGTCACCCCATGGTCACCCCATGGTCACCCCTGGTCACCCTGTGGTCACTCCCGGTCACCCGCAGTAGCCCCTGGTCACCCCTGGACACTCCTGGTCACTCCTGGTCACTCCTTTTAACCCCTGGTCACTCCCAGTAGCCGTGGTCACTCCTGGTCACCCCTGGTCACTCCCAGTGACCCCCGGTCACCCCCAGTCACTCCTGGTCACTCCCAGTGACTCCTGGTCACTCCTGGTCACTCCTGGTCACCCCTGGTCACTCCTGGTCACTCCCCGTCACCCCCGGTCACTCCCAGTAGCCGTGGTCACTCCTGGTCACCCCTGGTCACTCCTGGTCACTCCTGGTCACCCCCAGTCACCCCTGGTCACTCCCCGTCACCCCCGGTCACTCCTGGTCACCCCTGGTCACTCCTGGTCACCCCTGGTCACTCCTGGTCACTCCTGGTCACCCCCAGTCACCCCTGGTCACTCCTGGTCACCCCGTGGTCACTCCTGGTCACTCCTGGTCACCCCTGGTCACCCCTGGTCACTCCCAGTGACCCCTGGTCACTCCTGGTCACCCCTGGTCAATCCTGGTCACCCTTGGTCACCCCTGGTCACTCCTGGTCACCCCTGGTCAATCCTGGTCACCCTTGGTCACCCCCGGTCACCCCGTGGTCACCCCCAGTCACTCCCAGTGACCCCTGGTCACTCCTGGTCACCCTGTGGTCACTCCTGGTCACTCCCAGTAGCCCCTGGTCACTCCCAGTGACCTCCAGTCACTCCTGGTCACTCCCAGTGACTCCTGGACACCCCCGGTCACCCCTGGTCACTCCTGGTCACCCCATGGTCACTCCTGGTCACTCCCAGTGACCCCCAGTCACCCCTGGTCACTCCTGGTCACCCCGTGGTCACTCCTGGTCACCCCGTGGTCACTCCTGGTCACCCCTTTTAACCCCTGGTCACTCCTGGTCACCCCTGGTCACTCCTGGTCACTCCTGGTCACTCCTGGTCACTCCCAGTAGCCCCTGGTCACTCCTGGTCACTCCCAGTGACCCCCAGTCACTCCTGGTCACTCCCAGTGACTCCTGGACACCCCTGGTCACCCCTGGTCACCCCTGGTCACTCCTGGACACCCCTGGTCACTCCTGGTCACCCCTGGTCACTCCTGGTCACTCCCAGTGACTCCTGGTCACCCCCGGTCACCCCCGGTCACCCCGTGGTCACCCCCGGTCACCCGCGGTCACCCCCGGTCACTCCCGGTCACCCGCGGTGGCCGCACTGACCCGCCGGGCCTTGCTCTGGTACTTGACGGCTTTTTTGGTGTCGGACACGGCGCGCTCGACGTAATCCACCGAGTGCTCGACGTTGTACTCGATGCGGTCAATCATCTCCCCCTG